TTCACAATAATTTAAAGAGTAGAGCAGCTCTTCATCCTGATCGTAAAACAGGATTTTGAACCCAGCTGAAATGATGGATCTGATCCAGAACTTGCCTCAGCTGAGCAGTGACAATCAACACAAGTCCCACACTGAGCCCCACATTAGTATCTATGTGAAGGACAACTTTGTTTTCCTCGGATTCTCAGAACTTCTTGTGTTTGAACTGCAGACGTGCCCTTTGGAAAACAGAAAAATTTATTTATAACTGGCTAGATTTGCAAGCTTGCTTTATTACATTATTTCCTGCCCAGGGTTTCTTAATACTGAATAGAAATTATTATGAAAACTTCTTATTTCAGGGCATTTCCAGGCTAGCAAGGTTGGAACAGAACCTGTCATTGCTGGTTTAGTTTTATTTCTGGAAAGATTGCTAAACTGAGCCAGAGTTCAAGTCCATAGGGGGAACACATGCATGCATAACACTCATTCACGCACTCAATGAGCAAGTTCCAACTCTGCTGTGGGAGTTTCAGCCTAATGCCTTTAAACTGTACACAAGCAATTCATCTTCTAACTTGATGACCATCTACTTTCTTGCAGTGCCCTGTAAAACTTATTTTGCTAAAGTGTATCAGTCATGCTAATGTGTATCTGTTTTTCTGTTTCTCCAACCAGAGGCTGTCAGTGGAGTAAAAGGGCAAGGGAGAGGGGGGGAAGGAGAATCAAACTCAGCATGAAGTATGAGACTTCAGCCTAAAATGTAATATGGAATCTTTACCTCTGAGCAGAACTCTGGTATCTTATGCTGGAAAACAATACAGGGTCAGCCAACTAGGGATTAGGTGTTATTATTCTGACTTTTTGTTGCTTTTGTTTTCAAGCTAAACCCATAAGGAGAGTAAAAATCAGCTCACTTTAGGGTTGGTAAAGAAGAGCTGGGCAGGGAATTGATGCTCACCTGTGATTTCCTTACTCTGATACTACATGGCTGACATTTTCATATACTGGGAGACCTCCAGAGCTCTGCATAATCTGCCTTTACTTGCTAACTCTCTGCAGACTTCTGGGGGGGTAGTGACATGTTTTCACCCATTCCATAATCTTTTTCAGTGAGTTCTCTGCAGCCTTGATGGAGAGTGAAAATAATGTTATGGAAGTTACATATTCTCATGTCCACTCAGCCAAACCTATGTTTCTTGTGCTCAGAGAGACAGAAGTTATTATTCTCATGAACTATGTATTTTTTGAGGAGCATTTTAGTATTTCCTTTTTGTATCTTTTGCTTTCATAAGAGTCCAGATTATATAATGTTTTCATGTAAGAGCTACTAAAAAGTGACATAACAGATATGGAGTAGTTTTTCATTTTAAAGCATCAATGACTCTATTGCAACCACTAGCAACCTTTTAAATGCATATAATTATGTTTGATAGATGGAAGAAAGATTTCCCTAGGTAGTGATGGGAGAAAAAAGAAAAAAACAGTGAACTTGGGAATATTTTTTATTTCAGGCATTAGTTAATCACTCATAAGGGGTTTTAGTGAAAATTTTATACATATTCCCAGAGCTCTGTGTGTCTATTGGGACAGATAATCTAACAGAGTAAACAAAAAACTCTACAGAAACCTTGGGGACAAATAGGAAATTAATTTAAGGTCATCAAGAATTTTAATAGCGGTAAATTATCTGAGACACTACCAATTACAGGAAGGTTAATATACATTTTGTGTATACCACAGAAGTGTTTGTATTCACAGAGGTCTCCATAGTTCCACTTTGCTCATCAGTCATGGCTAGGCTTCGTGAACGAAGATTTGGGAAGGGCTCTACCCACGTTTTTTGCAAGCACGTTGGTGGCTAAAAAGGCCAATACGAGATAGACACGTCCGGTTGCAAAAGACACAGCAGAAAGAATCCTTAGATGGTATATTATGTTCCAACATGCTAGAGTTAGTTTAGGTACACCTTTGGAGGCAGGTGTGTGCCTTTGTCTTTTGCTCTTTGTGCGACCGCATTGGAAGAAGATGCCCGTTGGTCTGCGGTTAACCAACCGGGTGAAGGTGGAGATGAGCTTTGTTTAGGCCACCTTTTCTAGGCCCCTCTCCGAGTGGAGCAAGCAGTGCTGTCCTTGAAAAGGCTGCTTGGTCGTTCAGGGTGCTGCCCCAAGAGACTCTCATCTCTGTCAGTCTCAAATGACCAATATCCTGAACCGCCTGCATGCAGGGTTGAGTCTGCGGCTCCCAGTGCATCTTTCACCTACCGTTTCAACCCTCGCCCGTCACTGCAGGACTTTTTGCATGTGGGTAAAGCCTTCAAGCCTGCGCAATGGATTTTTTAGGTGAGATGCAGTATGCGCGGAACTGAACCCACCCTTTAACCCTGAGGTTCATCTGCCAGGGCCAAGCGAGCTTGGACGGTGGCAGCGAGGTCCTCAGGACGTAGGTTTGATTAGAGTGACCTTCTCTTAGATGGATGGCCTTACAGGGCTAAGCGAGCTCCATCTGCCCGGGTTTGAGATTAGAGTTGTCCTTCTCCTAGGATGATTGCCAGAAGGCTAACGAGCTCTTCCATTTGAAATACAGCATTTCAGCGGAAGAAATATTTTTATGCTATACACTGGTAATGGCAATCCAGCTCAAAAAAAGAAACAAACTTCAGTTAACTTCCTTTCATACCTGAGATTTTCCTGGTAGTTTCCTCTACAAGTTGTGACCTAACTCCAAATTGGTAAATTTGTAAATTAACTTTAATCAGGGTACAGCTCATGGCAACATGTGAGATTCATAAGTTAAAAATACTTTAAAATAGTTAATGCTGTTTTTTAAAATTGGTTACCTCATACCTGGTTTTAAGATTCAGTTCATTTCACATCCAAGCAGTTCATATATTCTTTTCAAAATAGGCAAAGGGATAAAGATTTGTGTAATACTCTAAATTGAAGTTTCTAAACTATTGAGAATAAAATATATTATGTGCAGACATTGAGAAGGAATTCTAATCTTTCTTCTGTTATCTGGGTTCCCCAGCAGTACCCTTCTCACTGTGGGTGCTAGCAATCTCTAATGCATTACAAGGAAATTAATCTGATTTGTAGGCATTGTGTCATACAGTTTTCAGGTCATGCAAGTTATTCATTTTACCATCTTGTCTACACAGAGGCATTCTTGGAAATCAAAGCATAACAGCCTACATTCAGCTCCTGTAGGGATATTCTTATTCAGAAAAAAAGTAGACTTAAATCTTACATGATATCATGGTTACACTTTATATATCTGTACTTGGAAGTTCTCTATGGAGTAGTACAGTCAAGATAGTCGAGGTACACTTAACTTTGCTTCAGCTTTCTAACCCTTATTTGTCATGGTGTTTCTAATGTGTTAAAATGTCTCTTACAGTCTTGGTATGACTAGGTTTTCAAGGAAATGTATCATTTACATGTGGCTTTTACTCCATTGGATTTCAAATAATTGTCTTGGAGACATTATAATATAATGCGTAAGCATAGAAGGCTTGGCCCAGTTCTGATCTGGAAGATCAGTCAAAGAAATCTGATGACAGCTTTCAGCTAGCCTGAATCTAAATCTGTAATGATTTAAATTAAATTAATTATACTCTCAGTATGACAGATATGACCAAGGAAACAGTTATTGTGCCACTGGTAAAGTGATGATGTTAGAAATGGAAATTGAATTGCTAAAAGCAAATACTGGTTATTAATCAAAGTCTGCATTTTCATAGGCAAATGAAGAGATAATATCAAAATGAAAAGTACTTCTTACTCTCGCAGAGATCTGTAATTCTGCACACTCTGATTTGCACAAATAAGAAATATTAGTCTGAATGTTTAAGTGGGCAAGTTACATATACAGCTTTTTGAATCTTGCTGATAAGTGCTCTTATAATTTTCTGTTATAATTTTCAAGGACCCAGCTGTCTGATTTAACTGAAACTCAGTGATGCAGGGAAATTCAAACCTGAAACAAGAACTTTATGTAAAATATCCTGTGTTTCTGTATACTCTCTGTTTGGCCAACAGCCTTAGCACAAACTCATAAGAAGTAGAAGTTACATAAAATTTTTTTTTTATTGCTTACTCTGCATGCCAGAATGCTAGAAGGCTTTTCATTTTCTAGTACTTATAGAGATAGTTATAACACTCTGTAAGGACTTTTGTAATTTTTAGGACTTCAGTTATTTATGTGCAAAATTCATAACTTTGATGCAGAACTCAAGTGCCAGCAATAGGCCTAGATTAATACTGTGTTAAATTTGCATTCCGTTACGTAATTTTAAATGTACTTAATTATAAATTTATGTTTGATTCTCCTGGGAATTATAGGGGGTTTTGCAAACTGATAAACCTAGCTTATGTATACAACTTTTAAAATTTTCAACCAAACAATTCACATATAGGCATAAAACCAATTTCAGAGCAGGTAACTGCGTTTCTGACTCTCAGTTCTTTTGCTGCAATCATTCACTTCTTCTTTATCAGATCTTTTATGATGTCTGAATACGGGCATTGACAGTGTGGAATGGGATTATTGTCAGATATAACTAAAACCACATGGTTTTCCCAGCTGCATAGCAGGTAAAATTTCACTGAGCCATGTTACCATTGATCTACACTGCTCTTTACTTTTATCTGTCCGTCTGCTTCCTATCTGTCTTCTTATCTGTTTCATGCATTTTTCTTTGTGAAACTCTTAAGAAGTGAAATTTCTGATAAGACTCTGACCAATAAATATTTTCAATGCCCTAAAATAACAACCTCCAACAATACTCTTTTCATCCTCTGGACTGGAAAAGCCATTCAGTACTAACCTGTTCACTACCTCATGCCTCACCTTAGCGCTAACTCCCAGCCAGATTTGCTTAGTCTCTTTCATTGCTAAGGTACTTTGTGGCCCTCTAGAATTGCTGAGAGAGAAATTGAGTGGTAATTAGTTGCAGAGATGGATCGAGCAGTCAGTTGGTAGGTGCTCACATTGAAATACACATCTTCCTTTCTTGCCAGATCGTTGGCTGTGACCGCCAGCTGGGAAGCACTGTCAAGGAAGATAACTGTGGGGTCTGCAATGGAGATGGGTCCACCTGCCGGCTGGTTCGAGGCCAGTATAAGTCCCAGCTCTCAGCAAATAAACGTAAGCTGTTTCTTCTGGTAAAGTGCCATCTTCCCTCTTAGAGATGTACTCATTTCTTGCAAGCTAGATTTTACCCCACTCTTTCTCAGGCATCTGAATGATCATGGTCAGTCTGGTTGTCCCTATGGGTTCTTGCCTCTTGGGTTAAAGCAGGCTTGCTTGGACTACTGGTCTCGTTGTGGGGGTGAACAGAGGATTGTGGAAAGGTGTCACCAGTATATTCCCCATCTCAGCTAGCTAGTTGCTTGCGAAGAAGAACAAGAAGAGGTGTCTCTTTTGACGCCTCTCTGGCTGTGATAGCTGGCTAGGCATAGGACTTAGTCCACACTGCTCTGAACAGAGTGGTTTATGCTGCTACACAGCAGAGAGGAACCCCAAGGGCTTGGTGGTGCCAACCTGGCACAGTGCTCTCTCTAAGACCTATGCTCACAGCCTGTGTACCTGCATGTTGAGCATGGTGACTCAGTTCTGTGGTGAACTGAGAAACCTAAGTTGTCAGAAAGTGCCTACATGGATGTGAGAGAGGCCTACAGACAAACATGGCCTGTCCTGCACGCTGAGCCAGCTTCAACCCAGAGTGGTAAAGTAGCGTTAGTGTGCCCCAGTGACAGGGTTAGTTTGTCCTAGATCCCAGACATGCTTTTCAGCCTTGTTACAGCACCATAGATGGAGCTGTAAAAGCTTAGGGATGACAGATATGGCATGTTTGGTCAGTTTGCAGGAAGGATTAAAAGGTAAATGTATTTTCATGCCTGTGTAGGCACACATGCGCTAGCATGCAAAGCTACCCCCAGCCTTAGAGTTCAATCAGACCAGCTCTACCATTCTGGAGCACTTTTCCCAGTGCTGAATAGCACATGACCTCAAAGATTCAAATAGCAGTGTAGTATCTGCTGAAGACAGAGTATATTCCTATATAGAACATTCACCTTCTGTGAGGAGCAGTGAGGGGTATTTTTTACAAAAGCTTCTCTCTGTGAAAGAATAACTGCTTCACTATGGAGCACAGTATGCAGAGCAGCAGTTAGCACAGTGCACCTCTGGCTCTGTGTTTGCTAACTAAGAGGGAGAGTGTAGGAGAAAATAAAAGGGAGGGAAGGAAGGAAGGAAGGATTTTGTATAATCCTCATAAGAGTTCTATTGCTGAAGCAGAATTGCACACTAGAGGGCAAAGGAAATAATTCACAAAGATTTAGAAATGGCATTTCGCCTCATTGTTACCTGCTTCTGCAATGTGCAGTAACAGATTTGGAAATCTCCAGCCTACTTGAGACGTCATGATGTTTGTTAAGTTTTTTGGCAAATGTCTCTTCCTATAGGAGAAATTCATTGTTTTGCAGTTGCTTTGGGTAAAAAGGTGCTCATTTCTCCTCTTCTGAGGATAAAAGCACTAATATATTATGCACAGTACTAAAATGTTGAAAAAATAGAGTCCTTAGTCCCAGTGGTTTGCTATTAAACATAAAGAATGTTATATAGGTAGTAGAGCAATGGCAGAAAGCATAGAGTGAGATAAATGTGAAAAAAATATTAGAGAATGGATTTTTCAGACACATTTGCCACAAATAATTGGTATTCAGAGCTGAAGTAGATAATCATAGATTTTGTTTGTACTCTGCGTAAACCATGGGGCATTGTTCCATTCCCTGCTGTAAACATACATGTTGTTATGCAACACTATGAATTTTGAACGTATCAAAAGAAAATCTTCTTTTAAATTGGATTTTTACAATTCTAAAGACACAGTTAAGGATCACCTTTGAATGTGTGAATTAGTAAGAATTCTTTCTGAGGTTTGCTTCCAAATGTTTTATGGAAATGTTGTGAAAATTTGAGATTTTAAATGTTAAAAACCAAAAATGTTAAAAATGTTAATTTTCTGCATTTATCCTCCCCGACGCAATTAGCACTTCGTGTCAGCATCTTGCTTATTTGTCACTATAAACACTTGCTACAGAAACAGCTCCCTCACTATTTATAGGGCTAGTATACATCTCTCAGTGGCCTCAGAAACAGAAACATAGCAGGGCAGGAGGTAACATGGACTTGAATTCTCGCCTACATTTTTATGAAAAAGAAAGCACCTGTGTCTATGCTTTTTTAAGAATAATAATAAAAACACTACAAAAATCTTCATTTCAGAAATATTCGTTTCTCTTAGTACTAAGGCTGGTGGGTTCAGTCTTTCTAAGTCTGCATCTTTCTCTTTTTTTTTTAATAATATCTTCTTTAGGAAAGAGTGTATGTCCTTCCTATGGAGATAAGCTATGTTTAAGCAGGCTTCTTTGTATTCCTTAAGAAGCTAAAGAGTTGATCCCATAAGTTGTGAGTGAAACTTGCCAGTAACCTTGTGCAATATTATATTTAGAGTATTTCTCTAAAGAAGGGTTGACGTCTAATAGTGGAGTAGACTACTTTTAAAAGAGAATTGTAGAAATTGTTACACTGAGGTAGTCTGGATACTTACATAATTACTCTTGCCATAGTTGCCAAAAATAGATTCAGTTCCAGATATCCATTAAATATCAATAGTAATGAGGAAATAGAAAGAACTCCATTTTTCATCCTGAGAACTGAGAGACCATTTGCACAAAATCCAAATTAAAAATCCAAAACTACAAGAAACTGATCTCTCATAGGAATCTGATGTATGCACATGACATTTAACTTCTGCCTAAATCTTTGCACATTCTTCACAGCCCTGAGCCACTGTCCTTTCAGTTATCTGGGACTCTCCCTTGCTTCTCTGTGCCTGGTCTCTGGAGAAAACCAACCACCTGTTAATGCACTTTGTGTGCTGTGTTCCACACAGCTGCTCCACAATCTGCCTTTTTGCTTAGAGGGAGCTGTGACTAAATATTACCATGCTTACTTTCACATGTCTCTTCACACAAAATGTCTCCTTCTTATCATTGTTCCCTGCAGGAGGTTATCCTTCAGTTCCCACTGTTTCTGCTTTGTGAAAGCAGGAAGCACAGTGATAAGCATAAATCCCATTGAGCTTTGCATTTCACATAAAGCATGCTAGGATTTCAAATGGAGAGCAACTGCAAGATCAGGTGAAATATAGTCCTAGTGATATCCTGGGGCAGAAGAGCCATGCTGAAAACATCAGCTCGCATGAGCTTTAAACTGTCCAGTTTTTTGGTGACATATCAGTGAGTTGTTAACTCTCCAGCACAGAGCTTGTAACTGAGAGGCAGTCAAATATCATAATGGCATGGAACTGCACTTGTAAAAAGGCCATTAATTTTTTTTTTTTTTGAAAATTGACATAATGGTTTTCCCAGACTCATTCCAATGAATGTTATATATATATATACACCAAAATTATATGTCATACTGTAGTAATAGTTGTGCTTTCAGAAGAATTTGTAACAGGAAAGCTAGAAACTTGTTTTCGCTTAGGAAGTCTTGCAAAATGCCTTCCCAAGGGGGTTGGATTTTTTTTATTCCCTTCTGCGGTCCAGATGGGGTGGCAGAGAGAGCTGTGTTATCTCTCTCTGCTATGCTGGAGAGAGGTAACCCTAGCAGACATATACAGAGGCCTTGGGAAGGCAGGGGAGAAACAGAGAGGATGCTAAAGGCCCTAGAGAGGGTGGGAACTTGCCTTTTTCTCCCTGGGGCCTGGTGCCTGTGAAGTATTTGTAAGTTTTTCATGTTCTGGCCTTCTAAATAAATTTTTGAATTCTTTCCACTGTCTTGGCATTTCTGGGGATACCTGTGTATTTTACTTTATAATACTCATGTATTTTGTTCCCCAAAATGGATAAAATGTGTTTATTCTACTGATTATCTTGAATATGAGTGCCAGAATGGTACCAATAAATCAGTACTAGAATATCAGTATTTAGTGAATTTTTTAGAACTTGAATATTTATCTTTTCAAGTAGAAAATTTGAATTCTGCATAGAGATTAAAGATTTCTACCTTTACTAATCAATATCATAGATGTGTATGAGTAGAATGTGTGTTGAGTAGAGTTTAATCCCAGTGTTACAAAAGACTTAGGAGACACTGAAATTCCTGGATTGTTTGAGGAAACATATCAGATCAGATATTGAAAAATGGAACATGGTTCCATCAGATCTTGAACATGGAACATGGCCTGAGAGCTTGAACAGGGTTCTAATTCACAGTTCTGAGATATCGTAGGTTTGGACGAATGAGTGTATTGTTCAAAAGTTCCTGTTTCGGGTAATGTTTCCTCTCTGTGTTGATTCTCCTCATTTTTTGATCTAAAATGACAACATTAATAACTATTTTGCTGGTAAGTGAGAATCCTGATTTAGCCAGGTTCCAATGGTTTTCCCCTTTTGGTCTGGTCAGAAAGGTAAGGCCCCAGCTCATATGTTTGAATGAAAGATGAAATGCTTTTATTGTCTGAGTTAGCCTTACCTGACAAAGCAACACATTGCTTTGAGAGCAGAGCTTAGCTCCTGCTAGTAAGCATTTCATGGCGCAGGTGTGAGTAGTTCTAGTGGATAGATAGTGAAAGAGACTTTGCTTCTCTCATGTCTACCACCTTCTCACCCCCCCAAAAATCCTGCTAGGCATACACACTTTTTCTTTCCCAGCTGTTAGTTATATGGGAAGGAGGCAGAAAGGACAGGGAAAGGTAAATGAAGCATGCTGGTTAGTTCAGGTCAGCATTCTCTGGGTGTCCCACTTCATGACCCAGGTATAACATTTTATATCATCTTTCCACGCCTTTCCTTCCTGTCTCCATTGAGGACATTACTGAGGTTGCCGACTCTTTAGAAATGCTGAGCTAACTTTTACAAGTGCATGTGGCCTACATGGTAATTCACACGTTGGTTTAAATCCCACAGGCAAAGCTCCACATGGCTTCATAAGTGCAATATTCTGCCACAAATATCAATTCAAAATACTTGAAAAAAGTTTAAGCGGAGTCATGATGAAATAGAAAGTTATTAGTTATTCTTCAAATCCATAAATAGTTGTGAAGTAGTTGAAAATCAATAAAATCAACTAATTTGGGTTCTTAGCAGAAGGTTCTTACCACATTTAACAAGTTCTTTTTTTGTTCAGATTTTTAATCATAATTCTTAGAGTTGTTTAATTGGTCCTAAGGCTTTTCTTTTCACTTCCTTGTAAGCACCTATTTCACTGCTTCTTTGAAAACAGATGGGAGTTTCTTTGCTTATTTACTCGATGCATTTTTGCCTTCCCACAGTAGATGATACAGTGGTTGCTATTCCCTATGGAAGCAGGCAAGTTCGCCTCATGCTGAAAGGACCCGATCATTTATGTAAGTAGAATAAGATAGTGTACATTTGTTTAGGAGAGCCTTGGTAACCTGCAGTGCTCTGTCTACATTGTGATGTCTGGTTTCCTTCTCTCAGATTACTGATTTCAACACGCGGATGAGTCCTACCCTTAGAAGTTCTTCTCAGACCCAGTTACATCAGGGGTACACACTTTTCAGAGCAGACTTTGGCCAACATTGCAGAATTCCTTGCCCCTCTATAATTTTTCTGTTGGCTTATCCTTTGGCTGGCTCACTTGCTGTCAAGTGCTTTTGTTTAATAAAATATATACCACTGAGTGAAGAAATACTGAGGACAGTAAAGTATAAGCTTCTCCACAGCTGAGCTTAGCCATCAAGCTGCTTATGACTTTAACGTGTTTCTGTTATGACAATCTCTCTCAGTCCCCTTGATATACACATGCAGTCTTATGCACATACTTGCGCGCATGCACACACGCATGCACACGTGCACAAAATCACAGTCTGAAGATCTGAAACAGCATGCACGAGTCAAACCATGCTCCTTAGCAGTGGTATTGCTCCAAGCAGTTAAGACCACTGGAGTGCTGTTAGCCCATCACTTGGTGTCTATAACACTTCCCTGCTTCATCTGTGTATCCTAGCAGCTCTATATCCCTCTTCTCTGTGAGAAGTCTCAGGATTTGAGAACACTCTGCGAGAGCTGAAGGCAAATCCATTTATTTCATGAATAGAAGCTCCTGCATCCCTCTCTCACCTTCCAATGCAGTAGCTGCTCAGAAGCTGCTCTCTTTTTCAGCAGCAAATGTATACTAAAGTGTTAGTATATGCTAACTGTCAGAAAACAACCAAACTGTACTGCATGACCTCTCAGTAGCACAAATTATTTTAAGATAGTCCAAAAGTCATTAGAATTTCCTGCAGCATGGACCAGTTAGAGTCCTCTATGCTTGTCAGTGTAGATACAAACATTAGTATCAGCAAGGTGTGAAACACCAAATCATTCCACTCTCTTCGGATTTCTTTTGCCCAAAGATATAAGTGGCAAAATAAGGAGTGGTTTATAAGTCCTGTTCTCTAGCTCCCTACTTGTGTTGAGAAAGCAGTGGATATGCTTTAATGGTTTTTCCAATTTAGAGCTCTGAATAAAGACCAGCAAATTACAGATTATAAACCAAGAAAAAAATATATTTTCTTTTTTTTAAAAGTTCAAATGCTTCCTGTGCTTCAGTTTTAAGTGGACCTTCAAGTATTTCTGAGCTGCTCCCAGTAATGGCTGTTACTACTTTCCCAGTACATGGTTTGCAGTCTTCCTTTTTCTCCTATATTCTTTTCCAGTATAGATGCTATCTTCCAAGGTAGAAAAAAAATCATATTTTTATTATTGTTTCAGTGAAATTAAGCTATAAGACAGCTTAGAGAGAAATGAGATTTTAGCTGGAGAGATTGATCTAAAGCTGTCTTCACTCAGACCATATCACATTTCAAGACAAAAAGATTTGAATCAGAGGGGTCTGCCTGAGTCACTGGTTAAGATTTATATGAACTGCACTGTGTAAACATGAATAAGTCCAAATACATCTCTTTCTTGTTTCAGATGTCTCCATGAATCTTTCTCTTCACCTGTCAAAGGGTTTTATATATGTATGAGCTATAATCAGTTGCTCAGGGAGGGAGAGTCTCTTGCCCTGTGAACTTTGGTTGTGGGAGAAGTCAACAGGTGGCTGATTATATATACACAAGTCTTCAAACCATCTTTATTCCTGCATGCAGCCTTGTCCAGAAATAAATAGATGGCCAAGTGGCCATCACAAAGGAAGAGATTAATCTCACTGAAAACCAAGGAATTCATTAATACAGTGCAAATTTTTAGTATACTGTCTCAGCAACTTCCTTCATTAATTAATTCCCTTGACCCACCATGAAAAGCAGTCTAATTAGTGCAATTATCTTTCTTCCCTAAAGAAAAATACTTAATATACACAAATAAAAACAAAAATATACGCAAATAAAAACATTTCTCCCATTTGTTTTCTTTGAAAATATGTCTCCATCACAGATGAATAGTATGCCAACATCTAACTCAGATTTTGCTTTGGCTGCCTCTCTCTATTGGAGAAGATTTTGTGCATAATTTCATAAATACATGTAAAAGGTTTGCAGCTTTGCAATCCTTCATAATGAAATGCACTATCACTTTTAAATAACTATGAGAAACGTTTTACTGGTAAACATGCTGTAAAACATAATCTGGAGTTGGTGGAGAGGCTAATTAGGTGATGAGACAGATCTATTTTCTGACTGTTGATTTCTGTTTAATAAATTACTAATATTTTTATTATGACAATCAGAAGTAACTGCTACCAAACAGTATCTGACTTAATGTCTGCTTTTTGGGAGCTGTGAATTCAGAGAGCCAGAGGGAGAGCTCAGGAGGGTTCAGGACTCACTTTCCTTTTCTAGTCCACTGCAATAGATCAGGCTACTTCTGGAGAGGAGACAGGATTGCTGTCATACTGATCTTTCTTTCCTGAACATTCTGCTTTGCGTTAATTTTCTACCACAACAACATGTGGTTATTGAACCACCTTTGAACTGCAAGAGGGTACAGCAACTTAACAGCACTCATGGGCCAAGGTTTGAGTCATGCTTCACATACGAGCATGACTTACTGAGAGTGAGCTAAACGACAGCAAATATGCCTAACTAAGAATGGATTAATATGTCTGGAAGAGAGTAAAAGTATGAGCTATGGGTGAGGAGGGAAATTCAATCTAAAAATCTAAGGGTTGAAGAAAGACAAAAAGCAGATTGAAGAGAAAAAAGAAAAGTATGGGAATGTGAATTAACTACGGGGGGAAAAAAAAGTAGTTGTATTATTACTGATTTAGGAGGCTAATCTGAAACACCACTCTTTTGCGTTGGTTTTCTTTTTCTGCTCTCACTTGCTCTTGCTTCAAATTGCAATGCTCTAGTTTCCCTTTAATTTTTTTCTATTTGTCAGATTTGGAAACCAAGACTCTTCAAGGTTTGAAGAGTGAAAACAGCCTCAGCACCACAGGCTCCTTTCTTGTAGAAAATTCTAGCATTGACTTCCAGAAGTTTCCTGACAAGGAGATCTTAAGAATATCTGGTCCTCTCACTGCAGACTTCACTATCAAGGTGAGGGTTATTGGTCACTGACATCTTAGAGCAACATGAAGTAAGGTAAGATGCATTAGGAAGATGACAGATATTTTTCTATATCTTAATTTTCCAGTAGATGTTTATCACAAAGCCTTGTCCAGGCTAGCTCCTGAACTCTACATGAAATTCTTTATAGTTATATATCTGATGAAAGCCTCACTGGACAGTCCTCAGGAGAGAGACTGAATTTATGTCAAGAAAGGCATGCCCAATGTGTGCCCTAAAAAGAAAAGATGAACTTATTACAGGAAAAGACAGATTCCCTTCTATATGCACTACTGAGGTAGGGATAAATCAATGACAAGCAACTTGCTTTGTCTGTGATAGGCAAAAAGAATCTTTGTGTGCATCTTTGGCCCACAGTTTGTAGGGTTTAGTGTAATTGCACAGAAGACTATAAGAGAGAAGAGTGAGGTCCCCAACCTCCAAAATAAATGGGGTGACTTTGCTTGAGAAGTCATGGCGTCATTTTGAAGTTGTGCTTTTTGTTGCACTGGCAATAAGAATAAGATTGTTTCCTCCCATTAGAGCATTTCTATTCTTCCAGGTAATATAAAACACATTGCTGGAAGCAATGCGCACATTCTGTGGGAAAACACACATACAAAAATGAACATTTGGGAGTTACAATAAAATAAATCCTTTTCCGGTAGGTCCAAGCAACTTGAAGGGTTGCAGCTGTAAAACTGTAAAACCATGTCCAGGACTACATAAATTTTTCACCATGGGCTCCAGAGGTAGATGACATTTGCTTTAACCTTGAGCTGATGGCAGCTAGAGGTTTGAACAATGAACTGGAAAATGTCTTAAGTGATTGTGTTGGGTTAAGCTGGGCCAGGCTGGAATGGGTTAACTTGGGAAGTAGCGCAGCCCTGTAGACTGTCCCCTGCTCATTGTGGTATGTCAGCAGGAGAAAAAGCAAGTTGAAATTTTCAGAACTGGTTCACAAGGAGAAGCCTGACCTAAGGAATATGTTCCTTACTCTTTGAAGATCAGAATGAAAATGCCTTACTAAAATAGATACTGATCAATTCAAGATATCTGAAACACCTTTACCTGTTTTACAGATGATACAGAGATGGTGAACATCAGTGCAATGGAAACAGCATTTCTCACTTTGCATTATTTCTGTTGTCTATGAATTTCTGGCAGCCTGGTTAGTTAGAACATACCTTTTTGAAAGAGCTCATCATATAGACCAATGGCCCTGAAATGGTAACAGGCGCTGTTGTAGTTTTAGTTAGATGGGAAGGATTTTTCAGTTACAAATATTTCCACACCACTATGTAATTTTGGAGCGTGGGGATCGCCCTGTCCGAGCTGGATCAGGGGCAGACTGTCCCCAGGGGTCTCAAGACCTGCCAGAAAGGCGGATCCCTTTCCATCCCGGGAACTCAGGAGACAGGAGCTAAAAGGTGGGCATGGGCCCGAACTGCTCTCTGTGTACCCGGGTTTTGCCCACTGAAGGACTGCAGGTGCTCAGAGTCTTTGCCAGAGCCATTACTTCACTGTCCAACCAAGCTCAGACTCAGTGGAACCACCATAGCACTGTTTTCTCAGAGCACTTTTGGAGCTATTTCACAGTAGCCTGGGAGCTGCCGCCACCAACCTGGGAATTCCCTTCTCCAGAGTCACTACCATCTCAGCTGCAACCGTTTCTCTCTCTCACCCGCACAAAGCGCCACTACCCCATGGCCCAAGCCCACTCAGCTCCCGCCAGGCTCCAGGACCATGCTGGGTCATCCCCAGCCCCGCTACCAACACACTCATGTGGTTGCTACAACAGAACCCACACCAAGCACTTTAGATGCATAAAATTTTTTTGGATGAAATATCCTTCCAAGTTTTGTTTTACCCTAGGGCAGAGAGGGGTAGTTAGGTGATATTTTCTCCTATTATTGGGGATTTAAGTTTTAGTAAAATTCTAATTTTTCCTTCTTCATTCAGACTCCTTGTAATTTTTTTGTCTTCTCTATGTTTAGGGGAGGGAAATAATAAAAGCAGGGTTCGTTTCATTAGAGGTCTCACCTCCCGAATATATTGTCATTAAACCAAGACAGGAGGGTTGTACTGTTTTCCTCCTATTTCCACTATTATGATAGGTGGAATATTTATGATAGATAAAATACCTTTATCCCTTTAGTGCTTACATTTTCTTTTCTATCAAAGCAAGGTGAGAAGTGCTGGTTAAATCAAAGGAGTACCCTACTTACATGATGACTATCTGGTCCAGTATGAGTGGACAAGCTGGCAGTCATGGGGACAACGGCCACTGCTGAATTGAGATAAAACAATTTTATTAGTTCTGCTATGTCTTTGCACCTTTGAAAGTCAGAGTAACATGATTCAGTAGGTGTTAATTTATTAGCATATCTGTTGTCTTTAGTGGATATAGAAGAATGTACCAAAAAAAACCCAAATGGTTTGCAATTGTAGGATTTTTTCTGAGGCTATCATTAAATTTTGCCTTAAATTAGGCACTTAAAAATTCCTTTCAGTTGAATCACAGTTAGTTTTTTAATCAACAGCTATAGAAGGTACTTTAGATATTACTTCATGCAACAAGGATATTATTCTATATTATTAAATTATTTTTCTACACTTTTTTTTCCTTCTGGATATCTATTTTTTTTTCTATTTTGTCAGATATAAACATGTACATACAAGTAAGGCTGATGCAGGAGTACCAAAATGCATGCATACCTCTCAGTTATGACAAACTTGGCAACTGTTTTCCATACCTTGTATATTCATGACTATTGTGCCTTCAGCATGTGAAGTTAAAGTACTTGTCTTAAAAAAAAAATTCACATTAAAGGTTTCTCTGTGGTATTATCAAGTTTTCCTTACAATGTGGGATCTCTTTGGGTGTCAAGATTTACTTTCCTGGGCCAAGGCAGATTTTTCTGCAAATAGATCTAAGTGAATTTGTAGATGTAGGAGAACTCTATTTTTAGGGTCATTGTCTCCAGAATTACTGTTGTAATCCTTTTCGTTTGACCCTGAATGCTCTTATTGAGGGAGGTCAAGTTAGACACCTGAACATAATTCAGAAGTAGAAACTCAGTGTAGGAGTTCACATTTAAGTTTCTTTATTGGTGACATGGAGTGCTTTAAAATTACAAGAAGAAACGTCATGCTGTTCCTGGAGTAGCTGAATTGTATAATTATTGGATTTCTTTGGGTTTCTTTACTTTGTAATAGTCAGTGGTACATTCCTCATGTGCTAAACTATTGGCAGACTCTTCACAAGATATGTAAATGGTTGACCTGGGTTGCACAAAAATTCTGGTATCCACCTTTTCACCAAATATGCCTTTTTGGCTTTTTGGTGTTTTGCCTTCTTTAAAGAGATTGAACTGCTGGTGTTTAATGACATTAGACCACCTGCAGTGACCTCCTCGGTGCTGTCAGAGACTGGACTACTGGTGCTCATGGCTCCATCAGCAGTGTGCTTTGCTGGTGTGTGCTTTGCTAACATTGCGCAGGGTGGCCACCCAGGTCAGGTGCCCAAGGTGTGCATAGAATCATAGAATCAGCCGGGTTGGAAAAGACCTCTGAGATCATCAAGTCCAACCCTTGAGCCAACACCACTGTGGTTACTAGACCATGGCACTAAGTGCCACATCCAATCTCATCTTAGAAACCTCCAGGGACGGAGAATCCACCACCTCCCTGGGCAGCCCATTCCAATGTCTGATTACTCTCTTTGTAAAAAATTTCTTCCTAATATCCATCCTAAACCTCCCCTGGCACAGCTTAAGATCGTGCCCTCTTGTCCTACTGCTGGTTGCCTGGGAGAAGAGACCAACCCCCACCTGGCTACAATCTCATTTCAGGGAGTTGTAGGGAGTGATGAGGTCTCCCCTGAGCCTCCTCTTCTCCAGGCTGAAAAACCCCAGCTCCCTCAGCCTCTCCTCATAGGACTTGTGCTCCGGTCCCTTCACCAGCCTTGTTACTCTTCTCTGGACCTGCTCCAGCCCCTCAATATCCTTCCTGAACTGAGGGCCCCAGAGCAGGACACAGTACTCCAGGTTCGGCCTCACCAGCACTGAGCATAGGGGAAGAATCACTTCCCTGGTCCTGCTGGCCACACTGTTCCTGATCCAGGCCAGGATGCCACTGGCCTTCTTGGCTACCTGGGCACACTTCTGGCTCATGTTCAGCTTCCTGTCAACCCAAACTCCCAGGTCCCTTTCTGCCTGGCTGCTCTCCAGCCACTCTGTGCCCAGCCTGTAGTGCTGCAGGGGGTTGTTGTAGTCAAAGTGCAGGACCCGGCACTTGGCCTTGTTGAACCTCATCCCATTGGAATCAGACTATCTCTCCAGCTTGTCCAGGTCCCTCTGAAGAGCCCTCCTGCCTTCCAGCAGATCAACACTCCCCTCTCAGCTTGGGGGGGGAGTCTGCAGATTTGCTAATGGTACGCTCGATCCCCTCATCTGATCATCAATAAAGATATTAAATAGAACTGGGCCCAACACTGATCCTGGGGGGACACCACTGGCTGCCAACTGGATGCAGCACCGTTCACCACCACTCTCTGGGCCCAGCCACCAGCCAGTTCCTGACCCAGCAGAGAGTGCCCTTGTCCAAGCCGTGGGCTGCCAGCTTTTTCAGGAGTGTGCTATGGGAGACAGTGTCAAAGGCTTTGCTGAAGTCCAGATAAACCACATCCACAGCGTTTCCCCCATCCACCAGGCGGGTCACCTGGTCATAAAAGGAGATCAGGTTGGTCAGACAGGACCTGTCCTTCCTAAACCCATGCTAGCTGGGTCTGATCGCTTGTCCATCCTGTAGGTGCTGTGTGATTGCACTTAGGATGATCTGCTCCATAACCTTGCCAGGCACTGAGGTCAGGCTGACGGGCCTGTTGTTTCCCAAGTCCTCCATGCAGCTGCTTGTAGAATAATTCATCATCCTCATCATCCTGGTTGGATGGTCTGTAACCCATCTGTCTGGACATTCCACCAGGATGT